AAAAAAAAAAAAATTCGATCTCGCCTCTATTGTTTGTGGCGCGTTGTGTTATATGTATAGTATATGATCAGTATATGTAGAGTATATGTTGAATATATACCTTGAAGATCGATCGTGCTGTGGTATATGTACGATATATGATCTGTATATGTACAATATATGTTAAATATATACCTTTGTGTTGTGTTATGGTATATATACAGCGTATGTACAGTATATGTGAAATATATATTCGACTGTTTTTTTTTTCTTGAGGGTATATATTGCGGAAGTGTTATTGCTGAAAAATCCAATCGACCCCCTTTGTTTTTTTTTTCTTTTGTTGTAGTATATGTTCGTGAATTATTATTGCTGGAAAAAAAAAAAAAGAGATCGATGCCCCCCTGTGTTCGTCTTTTTTTTGGTTGTGCGTGTATTAATGAAAACAGAAAAAAAAGATCAACGACAATTTCTTTTTTTTTTTTCTAACTACCCACAAATCATGCGCTATAAATATGGAATGGAGGTGGCCTATCTGTAACCGATTTTTAGGCATGAATGTAATTAATTATTATCTATTAGGTATGTACACAATTAAATTCTTATGAATGATAATATTGCAATATCTTCCCAATCGTGTGGGATGAATGAAAATTTCCCTTTTGGAGATGATCTACTTTTACAGATTGGTTTGTCAAATCATATGTTAGATAATTATTTTTTTCCATGAACAATAAAATTAATTATAACTTGTTGAGTGGCCGTCCGCCTCGACTCGCCGGGCCTGGGTTGGCCGCAATTGGTCCCGAAGGACCTCTAGTAGGTCTAGGACAGCACCCAATTTGTCCTCTTCAACCTGAAATCGGAAATTACTAATAATTAGATAAATTTCAGCAATCAAACAACATAAATTAATTGAAATTTCTGGAAATAAATAAGAATTATTAATAGAAACAAATAAACTCTTCACCGGTTCTTGTATGAGGGCCCGAATGATACGAATGCCACGAGGATGGGTCGAAAATGACCAGGCTCAGTCCCCTTTCGCCAACCCCTCAAAATGAGTCACCAAAGAATCGATCGATGGACTTGTGGCCTTAATAACTCCGGCACTACAAGCCCATCGATAACACCACCAACCATCACAGAGCTCGGCCAGAAAACAGTTCGTACACAAAACCCGCCAAACACCTCCCGCGAAAGACATGGTTGACTACACGATGTAGACCCTCACCACACTCACAATCCCCTTATCACAAATATTTCTAAAGAAAGATGGTTGGATCAATTTTAACACAAAGTCAAAAGGAGAGAGCGTAAGAAAGTGAGCATATTTGTATGAATGGCTGCAACCGATATATTAGAACTCATAGGGCTACTCTACACAAAGACCACTTGAAAGATATTTAAAGAGGCCACAAACAACCAAGATCAAGCTACTTAAACACAAACGATCAATATCACATTAGATTAAAATGCCTACTGGACTCAGACCAAAAGATATTGGGCTTGGAAATTGAAAAACATTTATGCCATCAAAATTCATCTTATTTGGGCCACAAATACTAACAAAATTGAAAAGAAAGTTAAAAAGTAAAAAAGGCCAACCCAAGGATTGTGAGCAATAATTGATAAACCGAGTGAAAGCCCAAGATAACAACTTGTTCTTCACCCTTCAGACCCAACAAAAGATTGCTACAATTATGCATAACATTTCAACATATTAACTCTCATTTTTACCAATATATAATGATCAACAACTCAGCAAAATGAAAGCTTTTCAGTAAAGATCATCACAATCATGTAAAACACAAGACCACACTTTTAACTACAAGTACAAAGGAAAAAAGAGTTGCAAAAAACCATAATCACAATATATTTGGATGCTCACAAAAAACACACACCATCCAATTATTCCAACCAACTACTTATTGGAACCAGACTTAGCCACAGATGAAGCCGACTGCAGCAGCAAAGAAGAACCCGCAAAGCTCGACTTGTTACTGCTCGAGTACAACCCTTCCATTTTCGAGGACCCGCAGCTCTTGCTCTCGTCTGCACCAACTTTCGGCCCTTTCACGTGCACGTCGACTTTCGGTACCTCCTCCCTCTCGTGCCTTATCTCCTTGAGCATGGCAGCTATATCCTTCATCGTGGGCCGGTCCTCAGGCATCGGGTTCACGCACAGCATGGCCACACCCAATGTCTGCATCATTTCCTGTATCTCGGGCTCGGGCCTCCGCATCATGCTCGGGTCCAATACCTCCTCCCCTTGCCTCCTCCGCTGCCGAACCCAATCCACAATGTGGGCCCCGTCCGGGATCGTCGGGTCTATCGGCTGCTTTCCCGTCAAGACCTCGAGAACGACCACCCCATAGCTGTACACGTCGCTCTTTTCAGTGATCTTCATACTGTACCCATACTCTTCACATAAAAATGAAATTAAAAAAAAAAAAAAAAGATAAATTAATTAACTAAAACATAAAATAAATAGTAATTTGATAAAGATTAAATTAATCCACTAACCAGGGGCAATGTAACCGTACGAACCGGCCACGGCGTTCGACGAGCGTGCGAAATCCCCACCGTTGACAAGCTTGGCAATCCCGAAATCGGCAATGTAGGGCTCGAAATCAGGCCCGATCAGTATGTTGTTGGCCTTGATGTCCCGGTGCACGATCGGGGGAACACAGTCGTGGTGCAGATAAGCCAAACCCTGAGCCGACCCCAAAATCACCCGATACCTCACGTCCCACTCCAGGCAGCCCCTGCCGTGCTCGTGAAGCAAGCTCCCGAGGCTTCCGTTCGGCATGTAATCGTACATAAGCAGCCTCGTGTTCCGGTTCGAGCAGCAGCCCAGAAACTTGACGATATTCTTGTGCCGGATGGACCCGAGCGTCTTCACCTCTGTCGAGAATGAGTCGCGGACCGCACTTGCACTGTCATTATAATTACCGGCATGCATCGTTGTCGACCAGAGCTTTTTCACGGCGATCACGTCGCCGTTTTCGAGCTCCGCGCGATAGACTACTCCCGAGCACCCTTTACCGATCGCGTTGCCTTCCACGAGACATTTGAGCACTTGCTCGACCGAGAAATTGAGCTTCGTCTGGAACGGAGTGAATTTCCAAGAAAACGAGTCTGCGTTGCCCAACTCAGAATCTTTGCCTTCGCGACCTATTCTTCTAACCCGAACAACCGCCACAATCCCGAGAACCCCAAGAGCAATAGTCACGACAACTAGCGACGCAATTGCCAATTTTAGCCTCCACGGCCATTTGACGCGTCTGTCGTGATCCTTCCCCACATATTCAGCATTACTCAAGAAGCACGACTCGTGCCCGCCGGAACACAATCCCCGGTTTCCAGTGAGCTCCTCATCTGAAAGCTGCCGGAACAGCTTGTTGTCGGGAAGGTAACCCGTGAAATTATTGTACGAAACATTAAGCGAGACCAAATTCACGAGCCTGGAGAGGGACATCAGGTCCCCCTCAAGGCTGTTGTGCGAGAGGTCCAACACGGATAGCTTGTCCAGGGCAACCACCTGAGGCGGGATTTTTCCGGTCAGCGAGTTCCAGCTCAAGTTCAACGCGATCTCGAGGGCCTCGATTTCGAAGATTTGAGGGGGAATGCTACCGAAAAGCTGGTTCTTGCTTAAATCGAGCATCTGAAGCCTCGAGCACCGACCGAGGCTCGATGGGATTTCGCCGGATAATGAATTGCCGCCGAGCGTGAGGGTGTTAAGCGAAAAGAGCTCGCCAAAGCTTCTGGGGATAGGGCCCACGAGCTTATTTGTAGAAATATCCAACACTTCCAATTTACTAAGATAGGACAGAGAGCTAGGCAGATTCCCAGATAGCGAATTTCCGGCTACATTTAGCATCTGCAGTTCCCCACAGTGTCCGATTTCGTCGGGCAAAATTCCGCTTAAATGGTTGGTAGAAAGATCGAGAAAGCTTAAATTCGAGAGCAACCCGATTTCTCTCGGTATTTGTCCGTTTATTCTATTCCCGGCAAGTCTCAACCTGTACAGAGACTTGCAATTGCCTATCTCGGGTGGGATCGGGCCCGATATATCATTATATATCAACAGAAGCTTCGTCAAATTTCTTAGTTCGAAAATACTCGGCGGCAAAATGCCGGTTAATGAATTTCGCGACAAATCCAGGGCCTGAAGGCTTTTGCAACCGGACAATGTTGCCGGTATACTTCCCTCTAGCTTATTGTCCCATGCGAAGAAAACCTGTAAGTTAGCCAAAGACCCGAATTCGGGCGGGATAGAGCCCGAAATCTGGTTGCTGTCGACCTGGAATTGCACCAAGCTCGTAGCATTGGAAAGAACTGCAGGGATCAAACCTGAGACATTGTTGCTGCTCAGCATGAACTCCTCCAGGCTCGTCAGGTTCCCGAAAGACTCGGGAATAACTCCGGTCAGGAAATTCAAGGAGACATCGAAAATGACCAAGTTTCGACAGTTTCCGATTTCTTCCGGTATAGAGCCCAAAAAATTATTCTGCCATAGCAGCAATCTTTCCAGTTTGAGGAGCTTACCGGTTTCTTTCGGAATTGGGCCGGTGAGGCTGTTTTCGTACAGGTACAAGCCCACGAGCTCCGTGCAGTTTCCGATTTCCGGCGGGATTTCGCCGGACAACATTGTGGTATAGAGGGACAGAACCTGGAGGCTTTTCAACCGGCCCAATGAAGCAGGGATTGTGCCGGAGATTCTTGTCTCGGCCAGGCCCAAAACCTGCAGGCTCCCACAGTTCGAGATCTCGTCCGGGATTTCTCCGGCAATGTCCTGGTTCCCGCCGGCCCGAAGGATTTCCAACCCCGACAGGCTCCCCAGCTCACGGGGAACGGCGCCGCTCAGCCTGTTGTCGAACAGGGCGAGGTTTCTTAACCCCGAGCAGCTCCCAAGCTCGCCGGGGATTTTTCCGGTGAGCTGGTTCGAGTTCAGTATCAGTTCCTCGAGGTTCTTGAGATTCCCGATCGTCGCCGGAATATTCCCGGCGAGATTGTTGTAGCTGAGGTCGATCTTTTTAAGAGAGTCAAGGTATCCAATGTCGGGCGGGATATTCCCAGTGAGGTTGGCGCCGGAGATGATGAGGGTGTCGAGGGAGGCGAAGGCCGTGAGGTTGGGAGGGAAGGGTAGGGACAGGGGGACGGAGCGTATGTCGATTTGGGTGACGCGGCGGTCGGGGGAGCAGGAGATGAAGGCCCATTTGCAGGGTTCCGGGTCGGTCGGGTTCCAGCCGGAGAAGACCGGCGGCGGGGAGGAGGACGGTGAAGGAGGGTGGATCCAGGAGAAGAGTACGCCGGCTTCCGGGCTGGGCTCGGCGGCGGCGGGTAAGGTCGCGTTTGGCAGGACTTTGAGGAGGAAGAGGAGAAAACAGAGGAGGAGGGAGGAGGGGAAATAAGGGGCGGCGTTCGAGAACTGCCTCGACATCGGCATCTGCAAATGTTTTTAATTCTTGGTTTTTTTTTTTTATTCTGGGAGGGCGCGAAGCTAGAAGACGACCATCGCTCCTTGCGTTGGGTCTCTCTAAAAACTTTGCTTTCTCGAGACGATGCTCTGTTTTTTTTTTTTTTTTTTTTTTTT